CAAGTAAGCAGACTCTTCCAGATACTTTTAGTGAGAACGCACGTCAATCCAAATCCCACAGTAAGTTGCAGGGCCCCTTTTAACTAAAACTATTCATGGACGTTGGGTGTTCCACCCCAGAAGCACTGAGAATCATTCATCTTCCTACTGAGAGTAACGAGAGTTAGTACCCTCACCTGAAGTTCTGAGTAAGGTGTACATGTCAAAGGTGACAGTGACAGAATCTCAAATCAATACATATCGACTGGATGCCTTTTAGGCTGAGGCATCACATTGGAGAGACAAAGATAAGTAAGACAGGCCCTGCCCTCAAAGAGCCGGATGTGTAAACAAATACATTACAACACGTTGCAGGCTGTGGGACTCGCTTTGGCCGTGCAGGAAGAGGAAGTGATTAACTCCTTCTGGGAACACGCGGTGGGGGAGGGCAGACTGCGCCACAGACTCCTGCATTTGTACAGAAGTGTTGTTTCGGTAAGTGTAGGAAGGGGAGCATTTCATGGCCAAGTAATTTAAACAGGTCCTTCACTGCAAGATTGACTTTCTGTTTTGTTTTTTGTTTTTTTGTTTTTTGTTTTTTTTGAGAGAGAGATTTTTGTTATAGGGCGTGTATGCTCACCAGACAGACAGAAAGTGAGAAATCACCCCCCCCGGGGGGGGGATGTCCATGCTACAATCCCTTTCCCTCCAGTTTCCTCTCTGCATTTTGGGCACACACACACATGCCCGGCATGAGTTTTAAGCCACTGGTTGAGACTCGAACTGCGGTTGACTGCATGAGAGTCCAGCGACATAATCATTACGCCATCTGCTGGTCCCAAGATTTACTTTCATTTGTTATTAACACACAGACACACACGTGTTTATCTATACATACAGCTAAATCTTACAATGATCACACTGACATAAAGTCTGTTTTACTACCACCGTTCTACAGATAGGGCAATGCGGAGTGAGGAGGAATTTAATAACTCACCCGAGATACACTCTAGTAGGTGAGGAGGCTTCTGTCCCGCACCAGGAGACACTCAGTAACGTAACAGGGCTTACGTGTGATAACAAAGAAATGCAATGGGACAGAGATGGCAATGGGACAGAGAAAGTCAGTAGGAACAAGGACTGTCTGGCACACTTCACTGGAGATGACACATTCATAAATATGGTGGAGGTCCAGCCATGGCGGGACTCACTGGACACTGCTGCTTGAGACTACGCGGGAGGCCCAGCTTCAATTCCCAGCCCACTCTAAAACGCTGGGTGCCAAGTCGCCTCAGGAGGCTGAGGCAGGAGGGTTGTGACACAGCAAGACCCTGTCTAAAACATGACATACACACACATACATATACACACACACACACACACACACACACAACAAAATAATAAGATAAACAAATAAATAAATATGCGATGAATTACTTTCAACTGCTGCCCTTCAAGATCAAACTGAAAGCTGAAATCAGTAAGTTATTTACTTGTTTGATAAGACTGGAGGGAGTTTGTGGATAAACGGATGGTGTTGGTGTTTCAGATGCTGGGTATGATGTAAGCTTTAGGGATAAGACTTACCTGAATGGAAAAATGACAAGTAATTGTAATTGTACTTCATAGAAACGTGTACGGTAAGGATAAACTTCTACCGAATGTTTAGAAACGAACATGACTCGTTCTGACTGGACAGTGGAGTTCTATAGGGCAGCGTTCAGGATAAATGGCGTCCATCTATTGAAGGCCTCGCGGTTACGAGCATCCGTGGCCGAGGGCTCACAGTCCAGCTTTGTGCATGTAAGCACATGGCTACGGACAATTTACTCTCTCTGCCCTGTACCCTCATCTGTAAAGAGGAGATGATAAAACCAAACTCCCAAAGGTAATATGGAGCTCTAGTGTCTCACACTTGTAAAGCACTTAGCATGGTACCTAACCCATTATAAAGGCTCAGAATTGAACTCTTCTGATCATTGCTGTCCTGTGCATTCTTAGAACTGCAGAAAGGAGAAAAAGATGGATTCTTTCTGGGAATAGAGTCAGCAATGAGTATTTATGATGCCTACTAAGGAAAGTATTTATGATGCTTACTAAGATGGCCATAATTTTTAAAAACGAAAACAACAGGACCAGCATATGGTGTAATAGTTATGTCGCTAGACCCCCACATGGTCGATCATAGTTCAAGTCCTGGACCCAGCAGCTTAAAATTCACTCCAAGCATGCGTGCATGCATGCCCAAAATCCCAAGAGGAGAATGGAGGAAAAGGGATTGCAGTATGGCCATCCCCCCTGAGGTGTGATTTCTCACTTTCTGTCTCTGTCTCTCCAGCGAGCACACACACCCTATAGCAAAAATCTCTCTTTAAAAAAAAAAAAGGAAAAAAGAAAACAAGTATTGGCATAAATGTGGTAGGCATGTAAAATGATGTAGCCATTTTGGAAAACATTCCGGCAGTCCTCAAAGTTAAGCAGTTAGGCAGCATATGATCCAACAGTTCTAAGCAGATGAAGACATAGATCCCCAGTCAGACCAGTGCCGATTACCAACAGTGTTATTCAGAATAGCCAAAAAGCGGAAGCAACCCAAAAGTCCATCGAAGGATGAATGGATAAACAAAATGTGGTATATCCATATAATGGAATATTATTCAGTTATAAAGGAGGGAAGAACTGATACATGCTACAATATGGATTTGAAAGTGTTATACCAAGTAATTGCATTGATATAAAATAGCCAGAAAAGGAAAACCTATAGATACTGGAAGTAGTGATTACCCCCCCTAAAGCAAAAATCTCTCTTTAAAAAAAAAAAAAGGAAAAAAGAAAACAAGTATTGGCATAAATGTGGTAGGCATGTAAAATGATGTAGCCATTTTGGAAAACATTCCGGCAGTCCTCAAAGTTAAGCAGTTAGGCAGCATATGATCCAACAGTTCTAAGCAGATGAAGACATAGATCCCCAGTCAGACCAGTGCCGATTACCAACAGTGTTATTCAGAATAGCCAAAAAGCGGAAGCAACCCAAAAGTCCATCGAAGGATGAATGGATAAACAAAATGTGGTATATCCATATAATGGAATATTATTCAGTTATAAAGGAGGGAAGAACTGATACATGCTACAATATGGATTTGAAAGTGTTATACCAAGTAATTGCATTGATATAAAATAGCCAGAAAAGGAAAACCTATAGATACTGGAAGTAGTGATTGCTAGGGGCTAGGGCAAAGGGCATGAAACACACACACACACACACACACCCTGATGGGTCCAGGGTCTCTTCGGGGTGACAGAAAAGTTCCAGAATTAGATAATGGTGATGGTGTACAACCTTGTTGATGTACTGAAGGCACTGGATTTATACTGTAAAATGGTGAATTTTATATTATGTGAATTATTTCTAAAAAAAAGAAATTCAAGGCTTTGCTTTTGAAAACAAGTAAGAAGACTGGCTGCTCAAGAGAAGCCGGATCCCCACATGGCAACCACAGTTCCAAACCCAGGCCTGGGGACCAGCAGGTGGTGTGGTGGTGAGGCACTGGACTCCCACATGGCCTACCCTGGTTCAAGTCCTGGACCTGGGGGCTTGAAAACCATCCCGGGCACATGTGCACTTGTTCCCAAAATCCTGAGAAGAGAGGAGAGGAGAACAGATTGTGGCAAGACCATATCCCCTGGGGGTGATTTCTCACTTTCTCTCTCTCTGTCTGTCTCAGGTGAGTACATGTGCCCTATGGCAAAAACCTTAAAACAGAAAACATGAAACAAAAATAAAACCCAAGCCTGGTCAGCCTGAAACACTCTGGACACACATGTGGGTGCTCGAGAGCAGAATGTCTGAAAGCCTAGAGGAAGATGACAGCCTGGCAGACCTCAGGAGAGGGATCCTCTCTCTCATGCTTACATGTGTGTATACGTGCTCTATCATGAATAAAGAAAAAAATAATAAAAGAGAGAGAGTAAGATAAGCCAAACAAAGCCAGGGAACGGGGCACCCAGGGGATAAAAGCTCAGAAGTAAACACATTCAAGTTTGCTCAAAAGCTCGTGGGATGGGCCCTAGAGGCCCAGGTTCCTATTCCAGGACCTCCCTAAGCATGCCAGCTGCACGTGTGTCCACTGCCTGGGGGTGGACTGTGACATGAAGACCTGGTTGGGGTGTCTATCTCTCTGCCTCTCTCATGGAAAAAATAAATGAAAAGTAAGTTTTTGAAAAGAAATGGCGAGAATTTGGCGAGGATAGAGCCCTGTGACCGTGCTACTCAGACCGGGGTGGGTGGCGGGTGACTGTTTGTCCCATTGTCACATTCTGTGACCACATACATACAGAAATTGAAAGTAAGCTGTAGAAACAGCCACGTGACCCTGCAGGGTCAGAGGCCCCCTCTCCTTGGACAGGACACAGACCACGCAGAGCTCTGGGGTGAGTCGCATGTTGGCCAAACCGCACGCTAGCACTCACAGTAGGACGGCACGTACTGTTGTAGGCCCACTCACAGTGGAACTTCTGCATGATATTGAGCTGTCGGAAAAGTCATGACACATTTTTGCATTAAAAAAAAAAAACAGAAAAATATGTCATGACTTCCAACAACTCAAAAGAAATGAAAACAACTGGTCCTTTTTCTAGTCTGAGAAGCACAATCACATGGAACACACTGGAAGGAGCAGTTGGCCGGGGAAACATGTTGGGAACAAAGCATGAGCAACCTGGTAAGTAAACTCGTGGGGGCCACATTTTTGTCCACAATTCGTTAACTAGGTTGTGTGCTGAGTTGTAAACCATGACTGTGAATCATGGCCCTTGTGAGTCTGGATTACCCCTTAGGAGTAGAGCAAACCCAGTGATTGTGCAATTACAAGGGGGAAAACATATTAAAGGGAAAAACAACCAAGAAAACAAACAAAAAAATATCTTGGGCAATGAGTAAGGGCCTATCTACTCCATCTTGGAATTAGGAAAAAGTTATCTGAAGTCATCAAAGGAGTTAAAGAAAGCACATAGCACAGTAGTCAACATTTAAGGGTGGCTTCTATTTATTGAAGAAGAGAAATCAGAATAGGCCATCCCCATGCTCAGGAACCTGAGATGAGCTTGGTTCATGGCAGAGAGGCCAGTGAGGCGGGCAGGAGGGCAGTAGGGATTCCTCATCCTCCAGGAGAGAGCGACCAGCCAGCTCCGCGTGCGGGAGAACACCGCGCCTCCCGGCAGAAGAGCCCTGGGTGGAGTGTAGGCACCGTCTCTGCACGCAGGGGGAGTGAGGAAGGAAAGGAAAGCACGGTGGTCCCAGGAAAACCGCGTCCACATACGTGCTCACATCTTGGCTGCCACTCCGCAGAAACCGTGCAGCTCCTCCCATGTCACGTGTCGACTTGCACTTCTCAAACCAAGGCCATTTTCTGAGTCTCGTTCCATTGAAGTCGGTGCATGCCATCTCCGAGTCTGGGGACGTGCTACTTCATGGAGACGCTTGTTTGTCCGTGGCTGTGCAGAAGAAGGGAAGTTCGGGCTCGGCATGAGCAGAGCAATGTGTCGTGTCATATTGCCAAAAGGTTGCATCATTTCTCAACTTTCCGGAAGACTGAATGTCTGAGAGGTCATCTATGTTTATTTTGTGAAGTTCGGCCTACCAGGAAATGTGTGGGTACACGAGATATTTTGGGCCCAGGAGACTGTCACTTTAGACGCTTAATCCGGCAGCATGTGCTATAAACTTCGGTCTAACTAAATCTTTGAACGGAGTGGCAAGTCGTGAAATATGCGAGGTTTTTTGGCTGCACGCACAGAGCCACGTATAAAACTCTGTTGCCAAACAGAGACTAGAACCAGATGACAACGACGGAGACTCAAGCCGTGTACGGACTTTTCTATAAAATGCTCCTTGCAGCCCAGCCCAGTCATGCTCATTTCTAGAGGAGTTGCCATCCCCCAGCAGTCCCTGTTCACTAAGATCATAAACTGGCTGCAAAAGGGTATTTTTAAACAGAATTTTTTTATGTCAGATTTTTTGAAGAAAACAATGAAAGTACTTCAACAAGAAAGAAAAAATGTGTTAAGGAAGTACTTCTTCACACAGAACTGAGCAGATGTGTTTATAGGCGGCCCACCAGCAACCCCACCAGGCCCTTTGTGGACCTGTCATTGGTGGTCTTTGCATCGTCCATAATTGGGAGGATAACGGTACCCTCTCTGGGAGAAACTGCTCTGCTCTGCGCTTCCAAGTGGTTCCAGTGGGGCTGCCAGCAAACAGAGCACTCACACACAGCCCTCTGAAAGATGTGCGCACACACACACACACACACACACACACACCCCAAGCACACGTTCATAACCTATTCACCCCATCATACACACACACACACATATACACAACCTACTCACCCCAGCACACACACAACGCGTAGGGGAAATCTAGCCATGGCAAACAGTGACACTAGCACACAGGAAGACAACCCCAAGAGGTGGAAACCGGGTCAGCTCTACCCCTGGAAGCCTGGGATGTGCAGGGCTGAGCCAACATGTCACCTTAGGCCATCTGAGCTGTCCCTAGGACTCGCAGCGAGAACCGTGACACCAGAACACGAGTTTCAGGTCTCCAGTCAGCACTATTCTCCACTGTAGCTCCAGGGAGAGAGGGCAGGCGGTCTGGGGGAACGGAGTGGGGACGGTCTTTGTGACTGTCACTCTGACGCCCCAGTCTGGCGACATGCACTATGGGTGAAGGATGCTCCTGGTGCCAGCCAAGGTGGCGTCCGGAGGGGATGGGCGCCTCCCTACACACCTAAGGCTGCCTGGGCTGGGGGGCTGCTCACAGAACTGCTGCCCTGCTGGCCGTTCCCGCACCGGCACGCCTGTGCTTCATGATCGCTCCTCGCTGCTCTTTCACTGGAGCCTCCCATGCGGCCACCTGCTCCAGGGAGGGTCTTAGCTCAGCCTCCAGGTGGAGTCAGGCCGATTTGTATAGATGGGGCCGGGTCTTCCTGCCTAACTTCTGACTCCACAGGTTCTGCCCTTACAATACCTTGTCTGCACGTTGACTTCTCAGAAAGCAAGCACAAGTCACATGTCCTTCACGCATTTCCAAGTCTCCAGGGCAGTTCCTTCTCTTTTGTTCTTTGGAGAGATTTTTGCTATAGGGCGCATGCACTCACCAGAGACACAGAGACAGAATGTGAGAAATCGCCCCCTAAGGGAGATGGTTATGCTGCAATCCCTTCTCCTCTGTTTCCCTCGTGGGATTCTGGGCATGCACACACATGAGCCTGACATGACTTTTAAGCCTCCAAGTCTGGGCCTTGAACCACGGTTGACTATGTGGGAGTCCAGCGACATAACCATTATGCCATCTGCTGGTCCCTTTCATTTTTATTTTAAAATAATTATTTAACTTTGTTTATTTATGTTCATTTGACCAGAGAGGAATAGAGTGGGGGGTGGGGAGAGTGAGAAAGCAAGCCGCCAGGTCCGGGTCTCGAACTGTGGTCTACCATGTGAGAGTCCAGCGCCCTTAACCACCACGCCAACCTGCCAGCCCCATCAAGGCAGTTCCTTCTTTTGACCTGCCCTTTTCTTATGTATTAAGATTTAAAAATTTATCCTTCCTCTGTAATAGTAACTCAGAAAATATAGCACCTCTGTTTAAAAAATAGTTTCTCTCTCAGAAGCAGTACTTACCGGAACTAGAAAGTTTCTTTACATCTGGTCTCTAGCCTGCCAAGCTTTAGATTCTTTCCTTACTGGTTGCAGATGAGTCTTTAAAATTCACTGCGCATACCTCCAAGGGTCCTGCTACTTTTCCAGTGGAAGAGAGAACGAACCTCCTCACTCTAGACAAAAAGTGCAAAGCGTTATCGGCAAATGTTCGATTAAACACAAAACCAGACAACCGTGGGCCGGCCGAGAGAGTGCAGTGGTGCTGGAGCCCCATGGGAAGACCCTGGTTTGGGTCCTGAGACGTCCCCGTACACAGCAGGCACGCGCATGTCTAGTCGGGCTGGCTGAGGTGGGGTGTGGGGAGGCAGCATCCTGCCATGAAAACCCTGTTGCATCTGCCAGTCACTTTCTCTCTCCTTCCCCTCTCCCTGTCTCTGTCTCTCTGAAAAAATAAACTTAAAAAAAAGCAAAACAAGAGACAGCAGCAATACCAAAAACAAACAAAAAAGAAAACAAACAAACTTACCCTATATCCCATGCCAAGCTCATTGTAGAGAGTAATTTCTCTGGCTGTGTCGCTGGACTCCCATGTAGTCGACCAAGGTTTGAGTCCCAGACCCAGTGGCTTAAACTCGTACCAGGCATGTGTGCGTGCGTGCCCAAGATTCCAAGAGGAGAATGGAGGAGAAGGGATTGCGGCGTGGCCATCCCCCTGGGGGGTGATTTCTTGCTTTCTGTCTCTCTGTCTCTCTCTCTATCTCTCTCTCTGGTGAGCACATGTGTCCTATAACAAAAAGCTCTCCAAAAAAATAAATAATAAGAGTAATCTCTTTAAAATACACAGAGAGCAAGCAGGGGAAGGAAGTTGATTTGTGGGAAGCAGTCGAGACCCCTGTTCAGCACTCTTCCAGGGACCACGTGAAAACTCTGCTCATAGCATCTCTCCCGGTCAGCCTCCCACCTGCTCGGCCTCAAATGCTTGTCAAGTCATGTCAGTTCTCTTTCCGCACTGGTCCTCCCATTCCACGCATGTCTATGGAGTACCTTCCGTGTTTCAGAAATCAGACAAGGCTCTGCTCTCATGGAGATTATACTCCACTGAGAAGGTGTATGAACACACGGGCGAGGCCATTTCACGTTGTGAGCGGCGCCACCAGGAGAGGAGACAGGGTAGTGGGGCATTTTCAATCCAACTGTTTAGAAATTCCCTACTGCTCTGCTTATGGCCCTCAGTCCCTGGCTGGCAGACGGTAGTCACTTCCCACTGCCCTCCCCATCCTATCTCCACCCAGAGACGAAGCGGCCCTAGCACTTTCTGAGGCACGGCTGGCCATGCTGTTTCGTGGCTCAAGAATGTGTCACAGAACCAGCCACATGGAAGACCAGTCCTCCCCAACCATCGAAGACCCTGGCATTGTCATAGCAAGCCCCCTTCGGGCCATGTCCCACCACACCCCTGCGTCCCCTGTGTGTTCAGACAACTCATGCTGCCTGCTCTCTGCTGGCTTTGCTGGCTCCTTCCCGGCTGCTCAGACTGTGCCTTCCGACACGGCTCCTCTCACCTATCTCTCCGCTGAAGTCTTTCTCCGAATGACTGCAGTTGCTGCCTGGAGGAGGTCACTCACCAGAACCAACCTGCCTGCACCTAGACCGCACACCACCAGGCCCAAGAGTTGCAAGAAATCAATTGCCGTAGTATCTAAGCCACCGGTCTCTGCAGCTTCGTTCCAGCAGCCCGCACGAAGGCAGCGGAGCGCGCGGTGGCAGACGCCTATGCACGCAGTTTGGAAGTGGGTAATGAGGAGAAGCTGGACGTTTTGCTTGGAGGCACATGCTGGAAAAAGCCTAGATTGTTGTGAGTGGAATTTTAAAAGTAACTCAGTCGGTGAGCAAAAATACTTTCATTGGCTTTACAG